GCTCAAGCAATTCTCTTGCCTCAGCCTCTTGAGTAGCTGGGACTATGGGCACCCGCCATAACACCCGGCTATTTTTTGAGACGAGGTCTTGCTTTGGCTCAGGCTCGTCTTGAACCTGTGAGCTCAGGCAATCCACTTGCCTAGGCCTCCCAAGTGCTAGGATTATAGGCATGAGCCACCGCACCTGGTCTTGATTTCTTTCTAACCCCTCCTTCTGCTCTAGCAGTTTTAGGTGCTGGTGGGTCCCTGTGCGCAGGCTGCCTTTCTTTTCTCACCACTCTCTTCTGCTGGAAACCTCTTCCTCCTAGATCACTCAATAGATCTACCCTTCCTGTCCCAGGGAGTGCTATCTCCTTTTGGGCTCCTATCGGCACTTGACTCTGCTGGTGCATGTTCCACATTGGGCATCCCTATTTTGTTCACTTGTTGGCTGTGAGCTCCTTAAAGGCAAGATCTAGCCCAGTGATTTTCAACTGGTGTACCACGAAATTTTTTTTTTTTTTTTTAGAGACAGAGTCTCACTTTATCACCCTCGGTAGTGCCGTGGCATCACAGCATACAGCAACCTCCAATTCCTGGGCTTAGGCGATTCTCTTGCCTTAGCCTCCTGAGTAGCTGGGACTACAGGCACCCGCCACAATGCCTGGCTATTTTTTGTTGCTGTTTGGCTGGGGACGGGTTTGAACCTGCCACCCTCGGTATATGGCGCAGGTGCCTTACCCGCTAAGCCATAGGTGCCGCCCGATCACGAAAAAATTTAAAGATACTTAATTAAACTATTTTTGAAAGAAGTTCAAAACACAGTAAGTATATTTTTTTAACTCTTTTTTCTGATCAACATAATTTAAATGTGCCTCAAAAGTTTAACTATAGGTTCAAGTGAGCTGAGACATAAAAAAGGTTGAAAAACACTGGTCTAGCCCTTCTCTTTTGAATCCTGGGTGCCTACAACATGAAGATACAAAGTTTTTTTTTTTTTTTTGAGACGGAGCCTCAAGCTATTCCCCTGGGTAGAGGGCCGTGGCCTCACAGCTCACAGCAACCTCCAACTCCTGGGCTCAAGCGAGTCTCCTGCCTCTGCCTCCCAAGTAGCTGGGACTATAGGCGCCTGCCACAGCGCGGGCCATTTTTTGGTTGCAGCCATCATTGTTGTTTGGTGGGCCTGGGCTGGGGATTCGAACCCGCCACCTTAGGTGTATGTGGCTGGCGCCTTAGCCGATTGAGCCACAGGCACCGAGCCAGATACAAAGTTTTTGTTGGATGGTACTCACAGATAAATTCTCTTAGGCAGGGTAAAGACTCATACAGATCTCTCTCTTTTGTGAAAGCTGCACAAGTACACAGACACAAGGAAATTGTGATATACATGCTACAGACATGCCTATGGGACATTTTTTGGCCTATGCCATGGACAGCCTCAGGGCCTTTGCACTTTTCTGATCACTCTGTCTGGAACTTTCAGCTCTTCTATTCTTCAGTTCTTCAGATGGCTAAGTTCCCTTTCTTATTTCCACTCTCAATTGACCTCTCTAAGTAGTTCTCCCTTTCTATTTCCATTACGCTGTTTATTTCCTTTACAGAATTTTTGATACTTTGTAAAACTCTTATTTAATTCCTGTTTATTATCTGTCTCTCCCTACCTCCTAACTTGATATAATTCCATGAAGGCAGGATCTTATGCTATTTTATATACCATTGTAAATTCTATGCCTAGGCAAATGAATAAAACACATACATACACAAAGCTACAAATAATTATAACCACATATTGCTAGTCATTCAGACACACATGGCCATATACCTAGGCCTGCCCCTCCCCAACATCCACTTACCCGGGTCACATACTTGTTGGCCTCCCAGGCCCACAGAGGTGGGTCCTTATAGACCTCTTTGATGGAGGTAGGAGCCCTGTAGGAGTCACTGTAGGTACTGATGGGAGTCTTGGTCTTCCGGGAGAAGAGGAACATGGTGGGGTCTCGGTGATGCCGTGGTGGACTCTACCTACCAAGGGCTCCTGCTAGACATCAGTGGCTACCCCTTCCCCTAGATGGCCCACACCTCCAGCCTGGAAGGTGCCCCTAGCTGTTGCGACCCCCTCCTGTGGAGGATCCCTCAGCTTCCTTCTCCCACAGCTTCCTGCTCCAACCCCACCCTGCTTCTCCCTCTAGGATGGGCACTGCCCATTATGATATCACCTGGCTCAGCCTTAAACCTGGGGAGGTCTAATTTCCTCCCTACTCCTGGGTCCTTTCGGACTTAAGCCTATCAAAAGAGCTCAATTTCAAAGAGTTCAGAGGGCCTCTGGAGATCCAGGGTGTACTTCATTTTGTTGAAGAGAAACAGAGATTCTGAGGGTTGTGATTTAATCATGCAGTAGATGAGCAGCACTCTGGGAACCCATGAGTAGAGGTAGAGTAACAAGTAATGTGCATTCAGCGGATCAGTTCTCTCCCCTTCCCAGCCCACATGCCCCTTGCCCACACCCCAGGCATGGAGTTGAGGCTGGCTTGTTTGATGCTTTTAATATCATTATTTGTGTTACACGATACACAACCAAGGATGATGTCAATACTGCGATGGAAATGTTAAAAAAAATATTATACACGGCTCATGTCTTCCACATACCTTTCTGGAAATAAATTAGTGAGCACGGAGAAACCTGGCTGGGTGGTAGCCACAGCTGAGGGCAGAGGGAGTGTTAAGGCAGTATCTACAAGGGGGAAGGTGGCAGGAGGGCAAGCTAAGGCCTTGATTCTTCCCCTTTAGCCTCCCAGACAGGGAAGGAAGGAACCACACATTCTCCCTAGACGCAGAAGCTGCTGGCTGCCAGCTTCCTGCCTCTCTGCCACACATACACTGCCTCAGTCAGAAGTCCTTGCCTGCGAGGGAAATGGTGTGTCCTGTAAGGAGAGAGCTTTTCCCTGGTTCCTCAAAGCCATAGAGATTAAACAATGGGCCAGAGTCACACAGCAAATCAGTGGCAAAGGCATCAGTCTAAATAAGTCCAGAAAAGAGGAGGTACCCATGTTCTGGAAGAGTGAGTCAAGGAGTCCAGGGTGGTGATGGTGGTGGTATGGTGGGAGGCCTGGCTCTGGGGCCTAGATGACGGTGGGTGGGGATGCTGGCCAGGGTGGGAGATGGGCTCAAATGGGCCCTGCAAGTACTTTTTCTGTTCCTTGCCCCCTTCTGGAATTTTCTCAACTAACTAGAACCCCTGCACTAGGGGATATAGAGATGGGTTGGAGGAGTAGTGGTGGGGGCAGGTGAAGAGCTGCATCCCTTTGCAGTTGGGTGTGGTACAGGGGGAGGTGCTACCTTTCCTAAGACAGCAGCCTCACTCCCGGCTCTAGTCACCCTCCTTCCAGCTCCCACCTCCCAGGACTGGTATCCAGAGTGGGCTATGGATCTGTCCATCCCATGCTCACAGCATGTGAGTGATATCCATGAGAGTGGATACACTAACACATGTGAGGTGTCAGCGTGGAGGAATGGCCACACCTTGGCCCTGTGATACGAGATTTGTGGGGCATAGGCTTGAGCAGTCTTAGACTATCCTGTGCTTTCACTTCATTTTTCTTCACAAGGGGGCAGATCTATATTGCCTAGCTTTAAGTTGGGAAAGCTGTTCACCTCTACCCCCCCCCCTTTTTTTTAATGCAAGGACTAAGCCATTTTAATCTCCTCCCTCTTGACTTCCTATTTCTTTTTAGAGATGGGGTTTTGCTATGTTGCCCAGGCTGGAGTGCAGTGTCTATTCACAGGTACAATCATTGCATGCTGCAGTCTTAAATTCATGGGCTCAAGTGGTCCTCCCACCTCAGCTTCCAGAAAAGCTTCGGCTATAGGTGATGGCCACCAGGCCTGATTCTCCCTCTTGATTTTCATCTCAGCTTTCCTACTCCCTGCCCCTAAACCAGCAACAAAAGCAGGAGCAGCACATTCTGGCCCACAGACACCTGTATGGTCACACACACAATAGATACAACCCACACATACATGTTCACAGACAGACACATGTATTCCAATATCCACATGTACTCATGTGGTGCTGATAAAAACTGCCCCTTTCCCTTTCTACACACACAACTCAGAAGGCACCCTGGGTGTACACAAAATCACGCAGAGATTTCTTCATCTCCCTCTACAGAAGTTCCTATGAAGAAATTCCTTCATGTATAAACGGACCTTAAAATTAATATCAGCTGCTGTTCATTTCACAGTTGAGGAACTTGAAGCTGAGAAAAAGCAGCGGCTTGTTGAAGATCACAGGAGATTGCCAGAGATAGGACCAGAACCCAGGATTCTGACTTCCAGCCCAAGGCTCTCAGTCCCTTGCACTGCTGAGTAGCCTCCCACACTGTAAAAAGACTACACAGTCACTTCCCCAACAAAGGCACCCACATCTATGACAGGAATAGATGCCAGGAAAGACAGGTCTGTCCAACACAGATACACACACACACCCTGACAGCCTTAAACACACACACATTTTGCCAAGCACTCCCTACCATGTCTACACAGCCACTCAGCCCACTGTATACTCCAAAGCTTACTTCTTGAAGATTCTTACTGGGAACCAGCCACCCAGGCCTTGGGTTGAGGTAAGATGGGAATGTGATTTTGGAGGCCAGCCATACTCCCTCATTCTAGCCTGGGACAGAGACCAATGAACAAAGTTGGAAGTAGGGTCCACAAAGGGGGAGGCAGAGAGATAGATGCATTGGTTAGGGGCCGGTGAGGGCAAATCATACTGCCATAGGCCATACAAATTCTGGCCTATCTCTAAAGCCCACCTTACCCTAGCCCACTCCCAGGGAGCAAGGAAGGGGGTGAATGGGGCAAAGAGGAGAAAGAAGGTCATGATCCCTTGGGTGAGGGACAGTTATCTGGTTGGACAGCTTTGCCAGGCTTCACATTAGTTGAAATGACAAATGTAAATAGGTACATGGGCTATCAGGGGCTAGTGGAGGGGACCCTGAAGTGCTGGGACCTGCCCCCATTGCCCTGGGTCTTTCTCTCCCCAACCTCCAGCCTCTTTCCTTGTTAAGCTGTGGCTAGGAGGTACATGGCTTCACTGGGGTTTGTGATCTCTCCCCCCACTCATTAATGTTGGCCTCCCTTCCATCCAGTCCTCTCTCCCCTGCACCAGACTGCAACCTTGGGGAGGGGGGCAGCGTGCTGGGTGAGGTCCCCCAAGTAACTGAACAAACAGCCTCTAGCCCTCCTCAGCCCCCCTGGGGTGGAGAGAGACCCGGTTTTGGTTTCTCCGGCTACATTAACACACAGAGGTACACGTCCTACCATAGGAGGAAGCAATGACTGTTAACGAGGTTGGCGGCTGTAGGGGGCGCCGGGGTAGGCAGACGAGCTGGGGAGGGGCTGCCCCTGCCCGGTCCAACCTGGCCCGAGTCGGTTCCGCCCCAGGCGGCCGCAGAGGCCCCACCCGCTACTGAATGTGGCAGGCGGTGGAGGACGTGGCCTGGCAGCACATGCAGGTGGGGTTCACGGACTTGGGGGGGATGAGGTCTAGGTCCTCGTCGTCGGGGATCTCATCTAACCGGTAGCCGTCCTTCAGCAGCTGGATGTTCAAATCTTGGTTGATCTGCTGTAGACAAAGGGGAGGGAGGTCAGGTTCCGGGTGGCTGAGGGCACTACCACCGGCTCCAGGCAACGCGAAGTCCTTTCTCACCACAGACCCTTTCTCATTCTAAAGTCAACGTCTCACCTCTGGTCCTACTTCCGTCTGGATTTTGCCTGTTTCAGGCCCGCTCCTATATCGCGATGCTGGTAGCTCACGGCCCATTGTATGGAAGCTCCACTGCTCCACTCTTAAGCCCCACTCCTAACTCTGGGCTCCTGGATGTTTTTTCAGATGCCAGCTTATCCCAGGCCCATACCCACATGGGACTCCACCCAGCCTTGCCTAGTCCTCCCCTCTGGGTATGCTTAGGAATCTGCTGCAGCTCTTCTCCTTGATAGAGGCCATCCTGCTCTGGTGTAAGTTTAGGGTGCCAAGGGGTGGAGGCTCACCTCAGCAGAGGAGTAGCCAGAGGAGGAATATCTGGACATGTCAAAGTCATCATCGCTGGCCATGGAGGAAACGGGATAGAGAAGTGATTCAAGGAAATTAAAGAGAAAAAAATTAAATACAAAACTCCCTGCATCCTCACCTCCCCACCAGTCAATGCCCAACCCCTCACTCATAGTTCCAAATAAAGAGTGCAATCTAAATAAAAACTGTGGCCAGGTGCTGTGGCTCATGCCATAACCTCCCACTTGGGAGGCTGAGGTAGGTGTATTGCTTGAGGTGAGGAGTTCAGACCAGCCTGGGTAACATGGCGAGACCACCTTTGCTACAAAAAATAAAAAAAATTAGCCAGGTGTAGGAATGCACACCGGTAGTCCCAGCTACTTGGGAAACTGAGCCAGGAAAATAATTTAAGCCCAGGAGTTTGAGGCTGCAGTGAATTATAATCACACCAGTCTGGGACAGAGCAAGATCTTGTATCAAAACAAAAAACTGTTTGCTCAGCAAATATATTTTTTTTTGGCAGTTTTTGGCCGGGGCTGGATTTGAACCCATCACCTCTGGCATATGGGGCTGGCACCCTACCCCTTTGAGCCACAGGCGCCACCCCGCAAATACATGTTTTTAAAGACAGGTTCCTAGCCCCACCCTTCTAAATAAATCACTACTCTTAACCTCCTTCTAGATACTCTTTTCAACCTTTCCCTGCTTTTTCTGGACTCAAATTTCCCTGACTTCTTGGGTTCACCCTTGAAGAAATCCTGGCTGAGGAATGCTGTACTCTGACAATGTAGCAGCTGTGGCCTCTGCAGCCCTCTTGTGCTCACACAGCTTCCTATGGCTTGCTCAGCTGCTCTCAAACTCTGGTACACACCTGTCGGTGTCAAGGGCTACCAGTGGCTTCTCATCTGGGCTCTGGTCAAGTGATGAGTAGCCTTTATTGGGGACGACCAGCCTGTGGGAAGAATTTTGGGAGTTAGTGTGGCAACTGGAGCCCACAAACCTGGAAGGGGGTTGGGCTGAACTCCCACCCCACCACTTCCTCTCCCACCCCTACCCTTTGGATCCTGCTTAGGCTCTCTCCTCCCAGAGAGGAGCTGGGCCTGAGGAGGGAGGGAAGAAGGGGAGGTTGGCAGGGTCTGGTTGGTCTAGAGAGGGCCTCTACCTCGTCCGGGCCATGACATTATTCTTCTTGGGTTGCTGGTTGACAGGGCTACCCATGCTGCTGTTCTTCAGGGAACCCTTCCGGGCCAGCTCCCGCTGCTTCTCTGCAGGAAAACATGGGAAGGAAGCTGTGTCCTGCCCTTGGGGGCACCCTGACTTACCACCCAGGGTGGACTGGGCCTCTGTTGTGAAACCACTTGCTCCTATAGGGTCTGAGGCAGGGATTTCAACTCAAAAGGCCCCTGCTGTTTCGTGGAGACAGTACTTCACCCTATACAAACTGGGGCAGATAGTGGGGTGCAAAATGAGGAGGCTGATGCCTGTCTTCCGGGAACTACAATTTTCATGTAGGACAGTTATTGTGTGCCTTACGTCAGGGAAAGGTTGGAGTGAAAGAGATAATTACAGAAAGATGGAGCAGTCAGGGAGGGCTTCCTGTAGGTGACACCATGAGCTGGAGAGAGGAGGGTATTCTAGGAAGGATTATACGAAAATAGTATGAACAGAATTGCATTTAGCAGTGAACATAAGGATGGGTTCTGGATATTATGAAGGAGTGAAGAGGGAGAGAGATCAGGTGAGAAAAGTAGGATCTATTTTTCAGTCATTTATTTATTCACCAGGTATCTGTGTCACCAATCATGTGTCAGATCCTGTGCTAAGGGGCTGACTATTCTCTCTGGTTACAAACTCAAGAGTGTGAAGGCCTTGAATGCCAGGCAGAGGAGTTTGGGATTAATGTGAAGGAAAAAGGAGCCACTGAAGGTTGTGAAGTGTGAGAAGCAGCATAGGGCTGGCAGGGCAGGAAGCAGGAGGCTGGGGCAGCTCATTGGCTATGCTGCCTAAGTGATGCTCCAACTCAGCATTTTTTTTTTTTTTTGAGACAGAGTCTTACTTTGTTACCCTTGGTAGAGTGCCATGGTGTCATAGCTCACAGCAACCTCAAATTCTTGGGCTCAAGCGATCCTCTTGCCTCAGCCTCCCCAGTAGCTGGGACTACAGGCCCCCACCACAATGCCTGGCGATTTTTAGAGACAGGGTCTGGCTCTTGCTCAGGTTGGTCTTGAACTCGGGTGTTTAAGCAATCCACCTGCCTTGGCCTCCCAGAGTGCTGGGATTACAGGTGTGAACCACTGCGCCTGGCCCTCTGCCAGCTTCTGAGTTCTCCAATGCTCAAGAACCGACCAGGTTCACAGGGCTGGCCATTGGATGACCCGCTGTCTGATGTGTGACAACTGTCACCAGCAGTAGCTGCCTGAGCCCTGGAGGAAGCCCATCTAACCTTTCCTATGAATCTCAAGTAAAGCCTAGCTCTAGGGAAAAGAACTGTTAGGGGCAGAGGGACACTGGAGAAAAGCAGTCTCATAAAATAACCACATGCTCTAGTAAGTAAGGATAGGAAGGGCCTTTACAGCCACTGTGACTCACTTTGAAACTCCCCCTGACCTCCAAATCTCTCTTCTATCATTTGACCCTCTTTCTTTGCCACTGCTCATCTGACTCCGGCTTTTTGTCCTTTTTCCAGCAGGTGGTGGCTGCTATTACCACTCCAAACCTCTAGAGGGTGCAATTTGCCTTAAAGATCATGGTGGCAATTTTCCTTAGCGCAAAATGGAACAAAGCTGTGAATTTTCATGAGGCGCTTTGGTGGCAATGTAATTGGGGAGAAAAATAATATTATTTTAAAAGCATGCTAAAGTTGTTTGAAATAGTAAAAAATTCAAACAATAAACTGGCAAAAACAAAATTACAGACTACTGTACAACCATTAAAGACAATAAAGTCTCTGTATATTGACACTGGAAGGGGCTCCAAGATATTAAGGGAAAGGGGGACAGATGTGCACAGAAACTGTGTACAATATGATGCTATTTAGGTTAAAATACAAAATAAAACCACAAAGCCTAAAAAGGCTTAGAATGATTACCTCTGGGGAGGAGAATGTGATGGGGGAGAGTAGAGAAATTGTACTTGTCAAAATATTTGTATTGTTAAATTAAAAAATAATAAACAAATAAAACTGATAGTTTGAGTCTCATGTCCTAGGAAGATGAACAAATTCCACTGAAATAACCGTTCTCTTGTTTAGAAAAACAGCTTGAGGGGCTCCTTCGATGTGTTCTGGAAGGAGAGAAACAAGATAAAACATTTAAAAAAGGCAGGACTCTGTGGAAAGACATCATGGCAGTTGCAGAGGGACAAGGTTTTAGAATAGATGGGAAAGGGATTTTAGGACTAAGGAGAGATGTAGTATTTTATGGGCATCTGGAGCCTTAGGAGAAAGATGGACAGGAAGGTGGTAGGGATGGCAGCAGAGTCTTGAAGGATAGTGATGGGCTATATTTAACTGTAAACTCTTTCCAGTATAAACTGTATTGTGATTTCTATTCATGAAACTAATTTCTTTTAGAAAAGTCTGTTAAATACAGCAGCCTTGAATCAGTGCAACTTTGGTTCCTGAAGAAGAGGGGCAGTGTTTAGCATAGGGTGAAGTGAGAACAGTAGGTATATGAGCAGTGGGCAGCATTTGGGAGCCAGGTGACTTCCAAAGAGCAGGCTGCACAACAGCTGACTTTGGATTAGACATGAGAGAAACCTCCAAGGAAAAGGTGACCTGGAATGGGGGGGGGTGTTTGAGTTTTCTAAGAAACTAAGGGAAAACACTCCCAAACAGGATCCAAACAGGCCCTGAGTTCTCAGGATGGGCTGAGGTTGGACTCAGGGGAGAGGCTCAGCTTCTTGGATGGGTTTAGAACTCTCATTCCTTTTTATCCCTAAGATGTAACAACTGTACACCACCTCTAAGGGAGCTTCCTCTTAGCTTGATCCAGTGTTTGATGAGATTACGAAGTCTTCTCTCCAGGGTCTATGCCTTTACCCCTGCAGCTATCCCCTGGTATACTTGGAACCTTCTTGGCCTCCGAGGCAACACCTATAATTTGAGTCTTCTGCAGAGAACTGTAGCTGCCTTCTTTGCCTTGTAGGAGATAAGGTGCCTCATAGTGCCAGTTACTTGGTGGCTTGAATCTTAGAATCATCTAGGTTGAGTTGGTTTATTTGTGGCACCTCATTGCAGACCCAGAACAGAGCACCTGTCTACTTCCCATATCTCCCTTACCCCCCAGACACACTCACCCAGCTTCACTTGGAGCGGGGATGGTTTGTAATTCATGGCTACTGACTCACCCTCCCGGGCGTCACAGTCTCCGTCTGAGATGGAGGCGGCGGCAGGGTCCTGTGGGAAGAAAGAGGAGAGACAGAGAGTTGTTAGGAAAATAATACAGGAGGCTTCTTTCATCCCCAAAGCTAGCCTTCCCACCTACCCTCTGGGCTGCTGGGAGCATTCACCACTGGCAGTGGGCAGGGCATTCAGGGAGACAGACAGACCTATCTACCTTGAGGCAAAGATGCTGGGCTGGGTAGAAATGCCAAGGATCTTGGTCCCAATTACACCCAACTAGGTGTCTGTCTTCAAAGTCTTGTGATCCAGCCTCCTCTAGAAAACCTGCCACTCTTTCCTTAAACCCATAGGATTTCTGTTTCTTAACTCCTATACTAATTGCCCTTCTCCTCAGGCCCTTATTGGTATTTGTTTGGCAAGGTCTTTCTAAGTTCCTGAGAGTTTAAATCTGGTTCAAGGTCAGACTAGGTGCTCCCTGAGATAGACCTTCTCCTTCTGTTTTATAGTGCAGGACAAGTTCACAAGATCCAGAGAACTGATGGCCAAGCCAGGTTAGACTTCAAAGCTGTAGCCACTTGACAAGAAAGGAGTTCTAATGAAGACTTCTTTGGTTCCTAAGGGGTATCTCCTGGGGGAACCTGAAAGGTTGATTGTGTATAGTAGGTGAGAAGACAAATCATGACAAATCAGCAGGTGGCCAGTTAGTCCTTTGCTGACCAAAGTGCAAAATATTTAATACTATAGATGACAAGGAAGGTTGGAAAGCATGATTTCTGTGGATTGCCCTCAATTTTAGTCTCCCTCACTGCCCTCCTCTTCCTTCCACTCAGCTGGGCCCTGTGCTGCCCAGAGTCCTTATCTAGCCTTGCTGTCCCCTCTAAAACATGCTCCTCTGCTGCAGGATCAAAGGACCCTCGCCCACTCTGCTTTAGTCAGTGGGAAGGGGCAGGAGTCATCCACCTTCTCCCTGAGACATTGATGACCAAGTACTGATATGGGTGCTGCCAACCTAGGCATCTTTGCATTTTAAGCAGGGTCTCCAGAGTGGTAAGCTCAAGGTATGAAGATTAAATGGGGGTTCCAAGGCTGCTGCCTGTTCTGCCTCTGGGGATACAGAGAGCAAACAGATAGGTAGAATGTTGTCATAGGGTCAGGCCCAGAGATCTAAGTGACAGCTGATGACCTATAGAGGTGGCTGCTGACCCAAACAGGCTAGGATATATAACCATTATGGTGGCTTCTGTTTCCTTTAAAATGAGGCAGCAGGGATAAACACATGCTTGTCACTGAAGGCGAAGAGCAAAGTCTAGAGTGTTTAGAAGGGAAATCCTAGCCTTGCCTGTGTTCCTTTAGGCCATCCAAAGTGCAAGTCCCTTGATACGCAGTATTGCGACAGTGGTTTGCTATTTCCTGAGGGCAGAACCTGGGCCTTCTTCCTCTGCTCTGATCCTTTACCCTTAGCCATGATTGAGGGGGTGGAGGGAGGAGGCTTTGCCCAGCAAGGTCAGATGCCATAGTGTCTTCATTCTTTTTTTTTTCTGTTTCACTCTGTCACCATAGAGTTAACTACTATGGCGTCATCATAGTTCACAGCAACCTCAAACTGTTGGAGTCAAATGATCCTAATGCCTCAGTTTCCTGAGTAATTGGGACTACAGGTGTCTACCACAATGCCTGACTAATTTTCCTATTTTTAGTAGAGATGGGATCTCTCTTGCTCAGGCTGGTCTCCAACTCCTGAGCTCAAGCAATTCACCCTTCTCAGCCTTCCAAAGTGCTATAATTACAGGTGTGAGCCATAGTTCCCCATCTATAGAATCTGCATCTAAGGCAATCCTTCCCAATCCTTTCTGGCTCAGAAACTGCCCTGGGAGACTCCTCATAGACAACGTCTGTCCTCCACATAGCCTTGGAGAAGCTTACATGCCTTTACATGGCCAAAACAGCCTCTCAGGGTTGGGTGAGGTGGCTCACACCTGTAATCCTAGCACTCTGGGATTGCCTGAGCTCCCAGGTTCTAGACCAGCCTGAGCAAGAGTGAGACCCCATCTCTAAAAATAGCTGGATGTTGTGGTGGGCGCCTATAGTCCCAGCTACTTGTGAGAGTGAGGCAAGAGAATTGCTTGAGCCCAAGAGTTTGAGGTTGCTGTGAGCTATGACACCACAGCACTCTATCGAGGGTGACAAAGTAAGACTTTGTCTCCAAACAGCCTGAGGTGCTACTTGCAGGGGAGATGGAGATCAGACAGCTGGGCTCTGGTCATGATGGGCCACAGGGTTAACTCCAAAACAGCCAGAGGGAGGCCTCTTCAAAAGGCAAATCCTATAGGCATGCTAGTGGGACCCTACCAGGGAAGCATTGGCACATTTCTAAGTCCCTCAGTCACATTCCTTAATTTTTTCTGTAACATTTGTCACATGCCATATACCACATCCATTTATCCATGGCTTTTAGGACATGGATCCCTTGGCTCATTTCTTACCTCTAGGGGTATTTCTACACTTGATCTTAGCCAAAAGGCCGAGAAGCGATCCTCTAGCAGGGGTCCTCAAACTTTTAAAACAGGGGGCCAGTTCACTGTCCCTCAGACTGTTGGAGGGCCAGACTACGGGCCCCAGGATGAGTCAGCTGCTAAGCAGGACAGGCAGTGGTGGCAAAAATACCCAGAGGGCCGGATAAATATCCTAGGTGGGCTGCATGTGGCCCGTGGGCTGTAGTTTGAGGATGCCTGCTCTAGGGCTATTTCTGTCTTCCCATAGCCCTTAGTCATCTCTGTAGGGTCCTGCCCTCAGCCCTTCTCTTTCTCATTGGGACACCTTTATGTCTCTTATAGTTCAGATTGACTTTTATTTGTTTATTTTGAGACACGGTCTTTCTCTGTCTCCTTGGCTAGAATGCTGTGGCATCATCATAACTCACTGCAATCTCAAACTCCAGGGCTCAAGGGATCCTTCTGCCTCAACCTTACAAGTAGCTGGGATACAGGCATGCATCACTATGTTTTTCTATTTTTTGTAGAGATGGGTTCTTGCTCTTGTTCAGGCTGGTCTCAAACTCCTGGCCTCAAATGATCCTCCTGTCTCAGCTTCCTGAAGTGCTAGAATTACAGGGATGAGCTACTGGGTGTGGCCTAGATATTGACATTTTTATACTAGTGACTTCTAAACCTGTGGCCTTCCAATTATGCTTCTTCTCCTTAAACCTTCATTCCAGCCATCACATGATAGTGTTAGGCTTCACTGTCCTTTCCCTGGGGATGATTTTTAAAATCACAAGCCCCCAGGTATTTGGAGCTAACTTTTTACTCCATACAGCAGACCAGTTCATCAGAGTCTCTTCTCTCTAGCTAGAGGTATCAGACGTCAGTGGTAACATTGGAGGTAGACTCTGCAGGAAGGACGGGGCTTGGGATGGGGGCTGGGAAATAATTCTGGTCATAGGGACCCACATGCCGTCCTCAAGACCACTGAGCAGTTCCCAGTGGTATCTGATTCTCTGTGAGATGCCAGCTCCTTTGGGCCATAAGCCAGGGTGCAAAGTCCGAGGCGGAGAGTTCTTGTGCAAAGCCCACCATTCAGCATTTCCCCTGACACTGTTCATGATAGAAGTCCATCTTAATGGCAAGCACAAAGATCTCTGGCAGTGTGACTGCAAAATCAAGCCTTTTCTGTGTGCTTCCTTTATGTCTTCCCTTAGAAATGCAGCCAATGCACCATGACCATCACATGGAGATGTAATCAGGGAGATGAAATGTAAAATATTCATGAATGTAAGTATTAGAAAGGACTCCAGGCAGAAGGAAGTGACTGGCTCCAAGAAATCAGGGAGAATTTAAAATGCCCCCAAAGGACATCTGAAGGCTTTAGCTAGATCCGGGAACTACAGTGGGGATTAACAAGATTATTAATAAACACTCAGCAGAGACAGAAATTGAAATGCATCTCTAGCAGCAACACATGTTCTGCAACCCTTCAAACAAATTCTCCAAAGACTGTAGACATGATTAATAGCTCAGCCTCACTGTTTCTGGGACAGGATATATGGGCTAATGGCCAGTGCAAAGCCACTATAGCTAGAGGAAGGCAAAAGTGCCAGAAGAATCCTTAGAGTTAATTTGGTCCAATGATTTTCATTAAACTGCTTTCCCTGAGTGAGCATGATGAGGGGAGGGATGGCAGGAGGTCTGGGTTCCCTTCAGTCAGAGTAAATCTACCTTTATTTCATTTACATATCAGCCTGTTGCAAGATTTTGCTTAGAGAAAAGGCTCTATTGTTTGAGAAAAAAGGTTAAAGTCTATTGATTCAACCCAAGCTGGTATTTTAAAATGTTTTATTATGGAAATTATTATGGAAAGTAGAGAAAGCATTATAGTGTGATCATGGATACCTATTACCAGCTTCAATATATATCAATTAATCAACATATTCTTTTTAAAAATGAGGAAGCCTGGGCCCCAAATAGAAGTGTCTTATCCAGGGTCAGTGATGGAGTCAATGGTTTTTCAAAGCTTACAGGGAAGAGAGCATGAGTAGGGCTAGGAGCTAGAGATAGGTCCTCTGGGAGGCAGCTCTATTCCTACAGGCCCAAGCATCAGTAGGGGATATTAAACTCTTTCCTTGTCGTCCTACCCCACAGCTGTTCTAGTTAATGAATTATCTCTAGCTGACTTACCTTACTTGTTGGAGCTGGGGGTAGCACAGTAGACACAAGGGTAGGCTGGGACCCAAGAGATCATTCAACTCAGGGCACAGATCAGATAAATAAGATGGATTTGGGTGGGCAAAAGGGGAACAAAAGGAAAAATCAGAAAGTGGAACCTTCCAGGCTCATGCCTCTGGTCTCATGGAGGACCTGGAGAAACAGACTCCTTTTCTGAATGACTAGCAGAGCTTTACAGGCTGCTCTGGGAGGACTCTGGGAGACAAAAAAAAAAAAAAAAAGATTTGTAGAGGGTTTTATAGTTCTTAACATAAGTCTTCAGATCCATAAGCTCATCTGATTCTCACAAGTACTCAGCAAACATGTGATTTTGCTGAGTACTGTGATTTTCCC